TGCAGCAAGATTTTTGGCATCGCTGGTCCAGAGAATATCTCGCTCAATTACAACAACGAACGAAATGGAAGACCAAAAAGGTCAATGAAGAGATCAAGGTTGGAGCACTGGTCTTAATTCGTGAGAGTACGCCTCCTCTCAAGTGGAGTTTGGGAAGGATAATCGACGTCCATCCGGGAAAGGATGGTTTGATTCGTACTGTGACTCTAAAGACTCAAGGCGGAATAATCCAAAGAACATTGCCAAAGATTTGCGTGATGCCGATAGATACGTTTTAGTAAAACTGATATTGAAAGTCGAGTCTTTCAAGCTCGCCGGTGTACGCGCCGCTTAGGAGTTATAACTTTAGTGTACGCGCCGCTTAGGAGTTATAACTTTAGTGTACGCGCCGCTTAGGAGTTATAAACTTTAGTTTGCATTTTTATATCGCGAATGATTATCATATGTTACGGGTTCTTTATTTATGGCGTTGTAAGAATTTGATTAACGCGCCGTGGCGATAGGCGTTTGTTTTATATAGTTACGAAAGGTGACCGCACCGAGCGCGTGTGTGTAAGAGAAGCTTGCGAGACGAGCACATCTTCAGTGTGTGTCTTTATAAAAGCATTTTTTTAAGAATAAAAGTTTATTCAGGTAATCGGGTGGATTCTTAAGCATAATCCCGACCCAACAAGTACATAAGAGTCGGAGGTATGTTGCTATCTTGACGTTTGTTTAAAACGTCCCAAATCTCTCGTATTTCTGAATTTAATGTCTCTAAGCTTGCGATGATTTCGGTGGACTCTTGATAATGATCTGGCTTTTTAATGATCTAGATTTCTAACAACAGACTATACAATGTAACGTAAATTTGTACTGTTACTCATATAACAATTAGTATAAAGCATTAATGACTATACGCTTTATATTATTTAATATATTTTTGAAGTATACAGTTTTCGTATACATCGCGGTTTTCTATTCGATTTTATTAGGTTTTAGGATTTTCAAGAGTCTGTCAGATTTGTGGGATGAGTAATCAAACTGCAAATATCAGACAAAAAAAAACTTTTTTTTTAAATTTGTTCAATTATTTCAGTGCGCAATATTTACTACAATTATCCAGAAAGTAATATTTGACTACGTTATCTTGACTACGTTATCTACATGCTGGCTTTGTGGCGATCAATAATTAATTCTAAAATATTCAAAAATAAATTTTTATTAATTTAATTGATCATATAGTTTACATTAAAATTGTATGTTTTATTGGATCATGAAATATTTGCTGTTTTAGTTCAATTGTACAAGGCGTAACTTCTTGAAAGCATAATCATTCCTTCGTAGAGTCTCTGTTACTAAATTATTTTCCATCGAATCGAATATTAAAATATTCGCTTAGGACGGTTCGATTTCTGTAGATTTTGCAGATTCTAGAAGAAAAATAATTATATGTATTTACTTACTTGTAATATTTGTCATTTGACTTCTTGTATGCGACTGCTTTCTATTTTTTAAACTTAGAATTTTGATAATAAGAATTCGCTACGATGATATCCTAGCTATTCAAGCCATAACAAGAATTTCGGAAAAAGATCTTCAAGAGTCTACGCACGCATTGATTGACCGTGAGAATTAAAAGTTTTAGTCTATTAGAAAACACAAAGTTTTATATATTTACATTAAATAAATTTTGCAGCCGCAAAAGTACATTGAACATAGAGAAATTTTGTCGTAAGCACAATTATTACCGAAAATATCAGAACATTTCCGTTGCCACCATTGGCCGAATTACGACGAATTGCTATTATTATAAGTGTAAGAAGATAGCTGCCGAATGCGAGAAATGAGAGAGCAGTTATTGCCAGTTGGAAAATTTTTGAAATCTTCGTGTCTTTGTCTTTTTCATCGTTATGGTCCCCGTATTGTCGTGTAGGCTTCTTGCCACTTCTTCTCAATGGCAGTGCCATTGGCAGCGTTAGCGGTAATTTCTTGCTAGACGCGTTCATATCGTCGTTTTCATTTTCGTCAGTGATATCTATAAATATAGAAATAAATATAAAAATTTAGAAAACTCTGAGAGAATAAGTATAACGATATATACATAATGTATAATAACAGTTAAAATAAAATGTATAATATTTCCAACTTTCTTTCTTCTTCTCCTCTCTTTTTCACCCTACTCCCTCCCCTCCTCCTCTTTTATAACATTTGATTTGTTCTTGTTCCCCCCACCACTAATTTTAATAGATTTTTCCATAAGACGTGGTGGGGCATTTACTATAAATAATGCGATAATGCAGCAGTCATGCCAAAAGTGCCATCGCTACTGCACAGTAAAGAGCATTAGCTTTTCTTGCATAAGCGATGGCAGGAGATGATGATGTGGACTACATTTCCCAACTACCACCAGAAGTTGCGAGCATAATTTTGAGAAAGCTCGATACTTTAATTTTGAGTAAGCTCGAAAGGTCTTTACTTTCTTTCAGTTTGGTTTCTCAACATTGGAAAGAGTTAGGTAACTATGAAATAACGCGTCGATTTGCGGCAGAATACAACGTAAGTCTTTTTCAGATATTGAAGCATTGAATTATTTTCGTAGATTAAAGATAGAAATAAAAAATGTATATCAAGCTAGATTTATGTGTGCTCACGTGATGAATAGTAAAGTATTAGTAAACATAAATATACATTAGCAAATTTGAGAAACTGACGAAAGTTCTTGGAACCCCATAAGAGGACCAAGTAAAGAGTATTATATATAATAAAAGATTTACAATGATTTACCATTTTTGCTTGCAAGAGAAGATTTAATTTGAATGAGTTTGTCCATTGGTAATTCGCTTAAGCTGCGAATTTCATTCAGATATAAAGATGACTGATCTTCGAATGCCACTTTTAAAATGCAAAATGCACACAACACTAATATATTGCAATACATAGTTGGAGTTC